TCATGATCAATCATTATAAAACACATCATATATATTATTCTGAAATGGACCAATCTGCACAATGACTACTTTTACTGTCGCTACTTTCACTATATTTTGATGAGAATACTTTTCTACTTTCACTTGAGGAACATTTTGAATGCAGGACTTTTACTGTAACAGAGTATTCCTACACTCTGGTACTTCTACTTTTACTCAAGTACAAGACCTGAGTACTTCTACTTTTACTCAAGTACAAGATCTGAGTACTTCTACTTTTACTGTAGCTACTTTAACTATATTTTGATGATAATACTTTTGTACTTTTATTTGAGGAACATTTTGATTGCAGGATTGTTCCTACACTCTGGTACTTCTACTTTTACTCAAACCTGAGTACAAGATTTGAGTACTTTTACTTTTACTCAAGTACAAGATCTGAGTACTTCTACTTTTACTCAAGTACAAGATCTATACTTATACCACCTCCGTTTATAGCCTATGAAAAAAACTATTAGAAAACGAAGGCTAAAGCTAACGTTAGCAGATAGTGACAATGTATGCTAGTTAGCTAGCTCAACGATAATATTGCGACAGAAAAACTTTTCAGTGCACATCACGCTCTGCCGCTCCGACAGGGAGCTCTGCTCTGAACACCTGAACGGCCCGTTCTAACAGCTGTTCACCAGCGGTCCAGTCTGTGCCACAGTGACTCCGGACCGCACAGTTAATATTAACGAACGCACCCGTAGGTAATGTAGCTAATTAAGCTAGACCATCATAGCGGAGTGGCAGAGTCTTATTATACATCCATGAGCAGAGCCGACAGGCAGGAAGACTCGAGCACACAGCTCGCGCTGCATTATAATATATAAAAAAAGAACACCATGCGTGTCATGATGGCACATAACAGCTCGCGGCCGCAGATTACTCCGGGTCCCAGACCCCCCCCATACCCCGAAAATATTTTTATTGCAGATCTACATGAATCACACAAACGACCTATTTTGGATTCAAAACGGCGAATTTCGCCGAAAGGTGACAAGTTTGCATCCCTGAATAATGTTCTGGGCTGACAGTGCCTTATTTTCAATTTGAAAACACATGGCAATTTTATTAATACAGCAGATGAAAAGATTTGCAATTCTTCATGGGTGTCATTGGCTCTCTAGATAAAGGCAGTATCTGTTTGCTAACCTCAGATATTGATTTATTTAAATAAGTGACCTTTGAATACATATTGCAAACATAGCCTTAAAAAGGTGCAGGAAAAGGACTTCAAATATTACTTAAAGACTGGACTTTTTAATTCAGTCAAGAGAAGAGTAAAGCGAAGAAAGGAAAGAAAATTGTTATAAGGGGTTATTAATGACAGACATAATATGGCTAGGGAGGCTGTGGCTGATCGTGCGTTGATCTTCGGATCAGGGGGGACTGGTTCAATCTCCACTGCAGTCAACATGTCGTTGTGTCCCTGGGCTTCACCCCAAATAGCTCCTGTGAGGATGTCCACAGTATTGAGTGTATGTAAGTCGCTTTAAGGTAAAAGCAACTAACAAGTGACATGTAGAGGTCAGTGGCACTCAGACTCTACAGGGGTCATTTTGTGATCATGGGGCATCACCCTTGTACAGCATCAGGACAATATCTCTATGGAGTCAGACACTGAAAGTGTGCTGGAGGCTGATTCGTTGACTGGGACAGATGGAAAGATGAGGCTGATGAGACTGAAGAATCTGCGAGGAACGAACTAGGGGCAGAGAAATAATCATATTTTAACCCTTTAATTGCCAGACCAAGAAGAAATCTATGGACAAATTATTTCTTTGCATTTTTTTATCAAATAGGACAAATAACCACAAACCATTTTAATTTGTTTTACTGACCACACAGTTTTGTTTTTATGAGCCTCTACCAACTGGTCGAGCTGGTCAACAATCATCATATAGTACAGTATTTGTATGCATCAAACTCAAATAAAACACAAACTCAAATACATTTTTTTCTTTAATGGAAGATGAGCAATATATACAACCAGATATATTCATAAAAAATAATAAATTATTATTGTAAAACAAAAAAGAAATGGAAAAAAGTAATGGAAAGTGTTTTTCATTATAAAAGGTTTGGCCTAACAACAAACAACTGGCCTAACAGCAAATGTCTATATCCTGTGTTGGCCTAACTTGCTCATCTGTGTGCAACTTTGGGCTGCATTTCATGCATGAAAGGTGCTATATAAATTATTATCGCTCTTTCACTCTGAGACTCATAAGGCAGTACTAGATTTAGTAATATTACCATGAATCTAGCTATTTATTTACCATATTTTATTGGAAAACATCTCTGAAACTCTGAAAAAGTCATATTGCTAGTTTACCATAAAAGGCCAATTCGACCAGTTGGTTGAGCATATTTTCAAAAAAGTAATTACACCCTTGTTACAAAAATGTTTTGTGCATCAACTTATATAATTCTGTTCAGTAAGTGCTCTGACACTAAAATATGTCAAAAATGATATGGTTACCTTACAAAAGTTGACCAAAAAGAGTGATTTCTTCAGGAGTGATTTTTAGCATGCCAACTTTCTCAGTGGAAGCTAGCTGAAGGGCATTCTGTTCGAACCACAGTGACATCTAGAGGTTGTTTTGTGCATAACATGTCAACCAAACTATGGCTGAATCAGATGGAGTTACACTTTTTTATTTATTTTTCAACAAGATATCAAAACACAAAATGTGCTCTACCAAATGGTGGCGCTGGCTGCTAAAGGTTAAGACAGCATCACCATAAGAGGCCAACAAGAGTGACAGGGTGTGTCACTTTGCTGATTGCTGAAGGATAGACCAGCTATGCAGGATATTCTCTGAAGATTTCCCAAGGGGTACAAGCTGCTGCTGGAGTACTGACTGGAAGTAGTGCTGATATCATGTCTACCATATCCTCTTAAAATACTCTGTCCAACAATATAAGTCTAATGACACATTTTTATTTAAGATGCATTCTTGTACTAAGGAGGGGAATTTGAAAGAGAATACCTGAAAAAGTACTTGTTGGTGTAGTTAAATTAGTATACTGAGTCAAACAGTATCACTCTCATTAAGAATTTATGGCAGAAAATCATTTTATCTCTCATCAAAGATAGCAGAAAACATGCATCATTGTACTCAAGAGGGGAGTTTGACAGAGTACACAGTAAAAGTACTCTAAATAGTATTTATCAATCCTCAACCTCCAAGCTATTTTAATATAGATTTGAAGAAAAAAACCTCGATGCTGACTTGACCACGCAAACGGGAAATACGGCCGCATCAATTCAGCAGTGTCAGTAACATAAAACAGAGAGGTACTCATACTTTATAAGATAGGGATTCATGACAGTGCAAGACAGACAGCCAGATAGACAGATCGTGAGACAGACAGACAGACCAACAGACCGACAGACGCGCACACACATACGCACCCACACACGGACAGACTGTCTTCTGTATGTTTTGCATGTAGCCATATATTCAATGTATATTCGTGCAAACACGCACTGCACTGTCTAGGCAAAGAGTATGAACCTTTATTTTGAAGAGTACAGGGCAAGCATAGGGCAAACTAGCCAATCAGAAGCAAGGAGGCACTGGAGACCCACCCACCTATGGAAACAAAACAATAGAGTGGTATACTTGTTTTAACAGTAAGAACAGAAAAACGAAAAAACGAGCTGAATTTCCGTGTTTTGGTTTTGGGGCAAAATTGAAAAACAAAAAAACGACCCGTTTCTGTTTTATTATTAGTTTCAATTAGAACTAAAAAACTAACGGTTAAAACGTACCTTGGTCTGGTAAGACATAAATGTTGTTTTATTGCTATTGGAATTATATTTGCTTCCCCTCTTTATCAAATTGTGTTCTCAGATAAGAGAGGCTTTTTAAACACTTATAGGAAGTTGTTAGCATGATTTGGAACAGATATTGTTGAGGTTATTTGATAAAAATAGAAATTACTTATTGACAACTGATAATGCATGTCAGCTTTTCATGTGCCACATTGTCTTATTAATATTTGTGGTGCTTTAACGTATACATGGCCAGTCTATCGCACTTTAAGGACCACAAAAAAAACAATATAGGTCACAAATCTTAACAGCCTGCTGACCTGTAAAGGTGTCATAGACATTCACTTGATGTACGTCTTATTTTTCACTTGTAAAGCAAGTTCACCGGTTTTCAAGTATGTTCGCACACAATAGTCAGGGGCGCATACACTCACTGTATTTAATCCTCCTTCCCTACTAATCTTATACAATTCCTTCCTAAGGCTCTTTGAACGTGACTCAAAGTATTTGTGCTTGAGTGTTACGTAGTGATGTCACTTTGTTAAGGAAGTAAACAAATCTAGGCATTTCAGGCAGGGGGGGAGAGTATGTGGGAGAGAACCCCATCCTTCTGGAGGGAATTTGGGGATTTTAGCCTTTTTGACTATTTACATCCACAAAAACGTATATAACACTCTACAGGAAATCCAAAACCCCAAAAAGCATAATAGGGCCTCGTTTTAAATGTAAGTGAAAAGTTTTGAACGCATATTTTAATATCCTAGGTCTAGATCTTGTCTAAATACTCTATGGACATGTGTCTATGTACATTACAGATTATTAACCCAGCTTTACTGCTCCAATGGTGCTGTGGAAATGATCTCAGAAGGTCAATAGTCTATTACAGTGAACATTTGAGGCAATTATTATATGTACTTTGCAACATGTTTTATGAAGACCCTGGTGAAGGCCACCAGCAAAACATATTCTTAAACTTGACTTGAAATTGAAACCTCCGGTTTAGGTTTCAAGTAGGCACCAGACACCTGCTCTGAACATGTAGTCCCACATGTTCACAGTGACAGAATACATATCCTCATGGCTAAATCATAAAAAACACAAAAATCGCCTTTAAAGATCAACCTCAAGTCCAGGTTCGCTAGAAAGGATGTGCAAAGACAACATGCACATTCTGTTCAATTAGGTGGTATTTATTTGGAAATCCAGAAGTTAGTTTGCATTTGAGAGCAAATCCATTTAAAAAATGTCCAATCAATAGTTTAGTTCTTTTTTGTTGTAACAATATTATTTATAAAGCTCCACATTTTATCTAAATAAAGTCTGGGATTTAGTCGTTGATTCACCTGCATTGGTTATAGCTGCTCAATTAAACTACACAGTTCTTAAAAAACGTATCATCACCTGTGCAGAAGATTACCTTTTTCCTGAAAATAATTTAAAGACACTGGGAGTTCAATACCACAGATGTCTTGTCTTTTGGCCGGATCATTAGACCATTCTAGAAACTGGTAACCAAAATGAATTTTAGATTTGGAAAAGGAAAGGAGTGGCTTGGAAATCCTCAGAACTGTAAGGACTTTTGATGCTAAACCAGCAACAACGATAAGCAATTACCATGAAGCAGTTATCCCTCTAATAAAACAAAAATAATGTTGAAACTAGTTGTCCTAAAGCCAAAAACATGACCATAAAGCAAGTCAGGGTTAACATGATGCAAGTGAAGTGATGAAAAAGCAACACAAAGACTTCTGCTCTGATGACTTACATAAACCTTTGGGACTTTTATTCAAAAAAGTTTATCCAAAATCATAATGATCCACCATCAGCACCTATGGACGTAGTATCCCGTTACGTATCCTATAATGTAGATGGACACCAATGCAGCCAAAGCTCCGGCCGTCTTCACTGCTACTCCAGAGCTGCCGTTACACACACTGCTGTAGATCCTGTGAAAGTAAAAGAGAGGGAGGCAGAGTCAGGGTTAACAGCATTTAGTCGAATGTTGTGACTCATTACCTGTTTTTCAACACATTGTCACTTCATTTTGACTATAAGGTTTTAGAAAACCTAGTACTAAATATTTCAATTTGTGTCAAGTTAAAATGCCCCTTATGTAATTAAGGGTTTTCCCTTTGATGTAGTGTAATATATAAGTTGTTATGCTACTACGTCCGTAATACAGTGACATCACTATGTAACACGTCACGCCCCAACACATTGTACGTGAAAGGCATCTCTAAGCGTTTGGCCAATCACAACAAAGCCGGCCAGCTAACCAATCAGAGCAGACTGGGCTCTGGTTTCAGCAGAGGGTGAAAAGAGGTGCAAAGCCGCACAGGCATTCTCAGTATGAGAAAAGTAAAGACCTTTTTGAAGATTAAAGCATGGAGACATGTCACAAAAGAGGCTCAATTCTCAAAACCAATATGAACATGAAGATAAGCATGATAGGGCCCCTTTAATGGTTAACTTTGTATTTTGTGACATGAAATATAACCGCATAAAAATCCTTCCATTCATGTCCCAGTATTTTGTCTCATCAACATCTATACTTTTAAACTAGTTTTTGTTTTCTTGTGGCAGCAGAAAATCTTCGGCAATATGACAATTTAATATTTTACATTATTGCCTGTGTCTCACCTCTGTGAAGTAGTCTGTGATGATGCCTTTACGTCCATGTTGATGTTGTCCTCGTTCCAGCGGTCATACTGCACGCTGCCCGCGCTGGTAGTGTTAGGGTCCATGAGGAAATAGCTTCTTCCTCTACCTGCTGCCTAGAGTCACTGATAGACCAGATAAGGATCCCTCAGAGTCGCTGCTTAGCCTGGACACACACAATGTCTATTAAGTATTATACAAATGTTAGGTTGAACATGGAATTATTGTATAGTAATGATTACATCAAAAGTAACTTACTGCTGGCAATTTATCAAATAAAAGCTTCAAGAACCTGCACTTTAAATTAAGTCTAAACATATTTGACTAAATATGACATTTAAAATTAGTTTAGGTGTCATTGAGCATTTTCATTGGCACTTTTGACAGCGTCAAACCACCATGCCATGCTGATAATGCGTTTACATTACCAGGATTTGCGAACCGAGTTGTGCCGAATCGCTCTAAATTATAACTGAATCTCTGAAACTAAATTTTCTTTCCTGTGTCCCTGTTTGTTCTTTTAGATATCTGCTTAATTTTCACAATTTCACGTTCGCTTCAAGTTTCTGCTGTATCAGAAGTCACGTCAAGTTACAGCTGATGAAATCGCAGCATTACACGGTTTGCCACTTCACAATAAAAGCATTTAAATAACAAATAACGATGGACCTTTATTTTGAAGAATTGACGGGAATGTTTTTATCACCAATTTAGCGGAGCTGTTTTTAGCGTACTTTAAACTAGTAGAAAGATTAAGCAGCAGTACTAATGTTGGACTTTTATTTTTGAAACTGTGTTTTTTACAGTGTTTTAGATCTGATCATTTAACCAATAGTCACAGCCGTTCTGTGGAACCATGGACCCCTTCAAAACCGGTTAGCCCTGTTGTTAAATAAATGCGAGCTGCGTGATGGCATATATGGAAAAACTTCACATGTCAGTCAACTATTTCGAGAGTTTAATCAACTCTGGAGCTTAATCTGATGACATGACTGAAGTAATCAGAGTCAAAAGCAGTGATTTAATTTGATTTGATCATTGTCACCCTAATCAGAATTCACTTTACATTCCCCATATTCAAATACACGGAATGAGTGCTCACCTGTATGGGTCTGAAACACTTTACAATCTACAAAGCTCAGCTGCGCACGTTTAAAGACTGAGAGAGCACTGCCTCCTGCTTGTTATGAGACCTTGGTCATAGTTCATGTGTCCACTGAGGTGAGCCTGTCATAAATCAATTTCTTATATGACTCTTGGTGATAAGGGGCACTTTAAGCTTGTAGTCTCTGGTTTCGTCACATCTTGTGCAGATAGTGGACTGCAAAGCACAATTCTTGTTGCTAGTGTTGTAGATTTTCAGGATATTACTCCCCTGCATGAAAGTGTGATTTGGTACAATATAAAATCACTTTGGTATTTCAAAGATATTCTATTTGACTCTATGTACCTTTATTTACCTATTAGTTTCAAGATGATCTGAGACCTATTTAAGATGTTGGCAGAGTTCATAGCTTCTAACTATACATACAAACACCAATCATGCTTGCTCCAGCATAGCGCCAAGCTAAATGGACCTAGAGCCCAATAATGTTACCAGCCACGTCTATTAACGGCAGCTTCCTTAGTGATCTGTTGCACTTGGTAAGGCTGCTATGATAACAAATTAAGAGACGTATACAATCATAACCTAAAGGCACCTTAACAGATGTTGTACACACCAGGCTTACCTTTAAAAGGACAATCCTAGTTGAAGTACTACAAGTAATGACGACTATTTTACTTTTAAATGCAGATTAAACATTTATTGCAGAATTCAAACCGGTAACACTACGTTTTATAATTAGTTTGGTTTCTCAGATATATTGATGAGTAAAAGCATAATGTAGCCAGATAAAAAGAGCTTGAATAGCTCAGTGACCGTGTTGAAGGAGAGGGAGAGAGAGTGCCCGGCCTACCAATTCTCCCATGGTGAACTGAAGAGCTGGTATAGAAATCCTGTGATTTAATCCAAAATCCACAAACTGAAATTGTAATCCAAAACTAGTTGGTAGTGGGATTCATAGACTTCTCTTTATCTCCTGAATGTGTGTGCATTGCAGACACTTTTGTGTGTGCGCCGATAGCGCTTTCTAAGCCCTTTTCTTTTCCAAGGATATTTACCAAACCTCACAGAAAAAACTTCCCGAACTGTCATCTTCCAGTACTCTTCATTCAGTATACACATAATCACCCTTAAACATCATTATAATCCTATAATCAATGTCTCAAATCAAACAAGTTATCCTTTATCTTTTATTATATTGGTTTCTAACAATACAAACATTATCACATTTATTAATTATTACATGCATGTAATCCATTTATACTCAATTTGTTTCTGTGTTTTTTGGCATTATGCTCTGATGTTTGCATAATAAGCAGAGAGAAAATCTAAACTCCATTCACCGAACTTGAAACCATTGAAGTATCCTATGACGAAGGCCGACACCAGTGCAACCAAAGCTCCTGCCACCACTGTTACTTCAGAGCTGCTGTTACACCTTTTTCTGTGGACCATGTGAATGTAACAGAGAGAGAGGCAGAGTCAGGAAAAACAGCATTTAGTCATCTATTTACTGATAACATATTATGACCTGGTTTCACCACATTGTCAGATTTAGAATTTAAATGTTTACACAAAGCCTATTGGAGCTATTCATTGTTGTGTATTATATAATAGTTAAAGGGGCACTATTATGCACATTTTCAGGATCATATTTGTATTAAGTGCCTCTACTGTGACATGTTTAAATGCTTTAATGTTCAAAAAGGTTTTTATTTTCTCATACTGCCTGTGCTGCAGCACCTCTATTCACCCTCTGTCTGAAACCAGAGCCCAGTCTGCTCTGATTGGTTAGGTGGCTGGCTGTTGGGATTGGCAAAAAAGATGTCCCGCCCCTTAGCCTATCACGTACAATGTGATGGAGCGTTAGCTAATAGAAGCGATTGTTATCTAGTGATGTCCAATGGAGGCCTTTAAGGCAGGGGGGGGGGGGGGGGGGAGAGACACTCCCTGGAGGGAACACAGGGATTTTAGCCTTTACCATAAGCCTTTAATAAAGGCAAAGGAAACCTCCCAAAAGCATAAAAGTGGCCATTTAAACTTCTTTTTTCAGTGCAGTTTTCTATGGACTAGTTTCGGCATCATTATTTAGTGTGTTCATTTATGAAAATTAGAGTAGTATTTATATACATATATTTTTTTTTAACATGGCAACACACAGGGTCAGCAAAGAGGTAAAAGCCGTTGTTCATTGATCATTTTGATCTTGGCAAAAAAAAAAACACTGAGAAATGTTTGTTTGATTTGTTTGTTTTTGGCATAGCCACTATTAACTAGTACTAAACAATGTAACTGGTGTCAGAGGCTAACGTTATAATTTATGACATTTTGTGAATTCAATCACATCAAACTTATACATCAGATTTCATTTATGTCCCAGGATATGGTTTTATCTCGTCAGCATCTTCCAACATTTAGCTAGGTTTGTTCTTGTTAGCCGCGTTCAAACCGCATACCATCACACCACATACATCACACCACATACCATCAGAAAGTTCTTAGCAATATGACAACTTTGTTTTTGTGTGTTTTGGTCTCACCTCTGCACAGTAGACTGTGATGCCACTACACTCATGTTGTCCTCGTCCCAGCTTCCCACACTGTAAGTGTTGGAGTCCACGTTGGAGGTGTTTTCCTCTTTGTGCTGCCAGGGGTTACTGATCACGATATACTGCATCTCTTGATTTGCTTGCAGTGCACGGCTCAGCCTGGACACATAAGCTGTTTGTCAAGCATACTATTTGTTTTTCCAAGATAAAAAATATGACATTAGCACAATGAACAAATGCAATTTGGTTATTGGTTGGTTGACTTTGGCAGTCATGATAGTCAGTGTTCAGCATGTATTTCTTGTCAGTTGCTGTTAAGGGCATGAGGTGGGAGAAGTACTCAGATATTGTACTTAAAGTGGACCTATCATGCTATATTTAAATGATATATTGTAGGGCCATACCTATATAAGGTATATTTATACGTTTCTGTTTTCAAAATACCAAACAGATCATGCATTTTAGCCATGCCTCATTTCGCTCTATGTGCTGTTTGCTGTCTACGGGGCTGATCTCTGTGAGCTGCAGCTGACCACGCCCCCCTGCAGGAGAGGGGAGCCGTGCTCTGATCAAGTCAAGAGCAGTGGCGAGCCGTGAGCTTTATACCTAGGCCCTCTGACCCCCACCCCTTCCCTCGAAAAAAAGACGTTATTACGTCACAGCGTATACTTCAGCGGAATATCAAAACAACGGCCCAGGGTGCAAAACGCATCAATGACAGCGACCCTCTACCACACAAAACAACACCTGTGAACCCAATTTGTGTTCTTTGACATTGAAAATGATATTGCATTGTGTTTGTTACTTTCATTGCAGTTGTATGTTTTAAGTGTAATTTGGCATGCTTTTATTTTGAAGGCGAGTTCACGCTGTTGACAGGAAGTTGTTGTTGCTATGGAAACAAGAACAGTTTCACAGCGGGCGGAACTCGTCATAAAGTCCGCGATAATAAAACCCACCCATTTAGAGGGAAGATATGATTGGTCAATTGTACTGTCATTTGACATTACTCTCTCGTTCAGTTACTATAGCGGGCCCTCTGTGAATCGCAGAGAGGCCCGCTATAGTAACTGACATTCAAACAGAGACTGAACAGGCAGATTCGAAGGATTTATTTCTTTGGAAATGTTATTTTATTAAATCAAGTTTTTTTTCGGTAAAACCAAGCGGCAAACTCTGGGGAAGAGCCGGGACGCCAATGCGGAAGTGCCACAAACTGCAGTTCATATATTGGCCGATAGGCGCTGACTGCAGAAAGGAGCAATTTCCATAGAGCCCCATGTTAAAATGCCCAATTTCACAGCCTAAAAAAACATGTTTCTACCTATGGATCCAATAAATATTATTATGAATATAGTTAGATTCCACCTTCATGATTATGGATCTGTGAGTGAATTGTTTTCTAACACGACCCTTTTATTTATATTAGGTCTTAAAGTTTTTGCATAAATTAGGGCGTGGTCACTTTGATGGACAGGTACGTGCCTCACTGTCAGCTAACAGCAATTTGTCCACTCTGCTAGGCTACAACGTTAGTTAGTTGTAGTTGCTGTACTTGACCCTTTAGCCGTGTTCGTGGTGATTGTGCCTTTTAGGGAATATTGTTACAAATACCAGACAATTGAAATGTAGTGCTGTGCGCTTGAATGTACTAACAGACCTTCCAAGAAGTCTACTCTCAGCTTTTTTCGGTGAGTAAAATGATAATATTATACATGTTAATCCCGTTAGCAGGTGTTTGTGTGCTTGTTAGTTTAGCTTGTTATGTAGCTTATTATGTAGCTTATTAGCCAGCTAAGGACGCAACCCTTTATACATGTGTATATATATATATACAGTTTAGTTTATGATTCAGCATTTTATAGTATATGGCTGTGACGCCCATAATGCTAAACGGGAGCAAATGTTAAAAGGGGACCCAATTATCCCAGTGGTGGCCGCCGGAGTCCACGCCGGCCGAAGCTAACGGAGCCGCAGGGGGCTAGCTCGCTAGCGCGTCCCGGCGGCTCCGTTAGCTTCGGCCGGCGGCGGAGTCCGGCATTATAACTGGAGATCAAGGAATGCAGCGAAACGCAGACTTGGTTCGCCTGCAGCCCGCTGTAGTATTAGCTAAATAAATTATGTTGAACAAGGCTTATTAAGCTGAACATCGCCACAATTGTTCTGCTATGTATCGGTACTTATTTTATTTGATTAACGTGTGAAGGACAAGCATTAAAAATAACAACAAATAGCTCATTATCTTGCAGATTGTCTCGTTTGATTATGAATGTAACGTTTATATAGTGGAACTACACTGTTTTATCAAAACCAAAGTGCCACGCAGTAACTTGGTATGCATGTATTTCAGCAGGAAATGTGCATTACCAAATTGGTATCAAATAAACAGTAACACAACAGCATTGGTAACACAACTTCCAAAGTTACAGTAAAATAAAAAGAACCCTGACTCGGACAATACACAATCCAACATGTTCAACAGAAGAGAATAAGTTATATTGTTTGTACACATGGTTCTTTACATATATAT